CCCCCCCGCCGTGCGCCCACGCATCTCATGGCGCAGCCCGCACCTCGCAGTAAGGCAGGCCGCGCCCGTCCCGCCCGCAGCAACCGCCACGGCGCCGCCCTCGCTGCGGATCGCGTCCGCGACGGCGCCCTCCACGCGCCGCGCGCTGGTCGACCACGATACGCCGCGCTGCGCGAGCGCGCCCGTGTAGGACGCACCAAAGGTCCAGACCTCCCCCTTGTGCGTGACGGCGATGCTGAAGTAGCGGCTGCAGTCGACGCCCACGACCCTCTCGTGCTCCAGGCCGCCGCCGCTGCTGCTGTCGCTGCTGCTGTCGCCGCCTCCGCTGCTGCTGCGGCTGCTGCTGCTGCTGCTGCTGCTGCTGCTGCTGTCGCGGCTGCTAGCAGAACCCAAGGGGTCGGACATCGTGGCACTGCTGCCACCACCGCTGCCGCCGCCGTTTCCGTCCCCCAGGCCCCACGTCGCGTCCAACTGCCGCGCCTCCATCACGCGCGTGGGCACGTGCACGACGCCCGGCTGCAGGCCGGTCGCGCTGAGGTGGCGCTCGATGTCCACCCCCCAGATGCCAGAGGATGAGATGCCCAGCTGCGGCGCCGCCGCGCCATGGCTGCCGCCGCCGCCGCCGCCGCCGATCGCGCCGGCATACTGAGCGGCCCCCAAGCCGCGCGCCGCCGCCGGGCGCAGGAACGAGGCGGCCAGCGCTTGGCGCGCGTGCTGCTGCCGCTGCTGCTGCCGCTGCCGCTGCTCCGCGATCGTGCGGTGCGCCTCCGCAAAAGCTCTGAGGTACGCCTCGTGCCGCCCCGAGGCAGCCCCAGACGCGGAGGGCCGGTTGCGCAGCAGCGCCTCGACCTGCATGGAGCCATACAGTGCGCGTCTGTGCTGCCGGGCCAGCTCCTCTATGGGCGTGCCCAGCCCGCACTGGCCCTCCAGCGAGCAGCCGACCGCCCACAGCCCGCCCGCGCGGTCGAGGAAGAGAGAGTGCTGGTCGCCCAGCGCGAGGTTTGACACTTCAGCGCGGCCGACCAGGGACTCAACCTGCCAAGCACGGCGCATGGTTTGAAGCGTGCGTGTTGGGGGCCGGCAGTCGCGGGTGCGAGCGCTGCGGCAAAGGGGCCGGGCCTCTAGACGGCGCGGGCGTGTGGCGGCGATGACCTGTCGCCTGCAGTGCAGGCGCCGCTGTTAAGGGTCGCGAATGCGATGTCAGCAGCAAAGAGCACGGTTTGTTGTGCCAGAAAGCTGATTTCCAAGCCTCTCACCCGGGCTGGCGCCGGCACGTGCTCGTCGTTGCCGTGGCCCAGCTTGGCGCTCTTGCCGTCCCCCCACGTGAGCGCCTCGCCCGCTGCTGTTACTGCGGCGCTGTTGAGCTTGCCGGCGCGCACGGCCACGATGTCGCTGCGTCCATGGAGGTCCAGCAGCGTCGTGGGGCGCGTGACCAGCGGCACCTGTGCGCGTCGACGCCGCAGGCAGCGGGATTGTCCATTGTTCCTGATGGCAGGGGGGCGTGCTGTTGCGGCTTGCACCCTGCGTTCGCACTGCATGTGGCGCACCTGCTCGACGCCGCAGGCATACTCAGCGTTGCGGCCCCTGCAATCGTAAAATTGGATGCAGCATGAGCTTGACTTGGCAGGGCCGAAGAAGGCAGGGTGCCGCGTTGATGGCAGCACAGACGAGTGTGGTGAATGCGTTCAGTGGTGGAGCAGGTGTGGCGCGCTTGGCGCGGCACACGACCGGATGCAAGCGCTCCGCCTGGCGCCTGTTGCAATCTGTAGGTATATAACGCTTGATCGCATGCAGACCCTTACCATGCCACCACGGTGAGAGCGCGTGCCAGTGCAGGCAGGACATTCAGGCCGACTGCAGCGCCGGCTCGTTGTGCTGCAGGCAACATAAATACGCTACTTAGGTATCTAAATTAGCTTGCGACGGCCGGTCAGCGGTTTGGAGGGCCTGTGAACATCGATCACTCCGACGAAGAGCGTGTCTTATGAAATATATGGATTTAGGAACCAGAGTTAGCCATGATTATTGCAGGTGACGGATGTGGGCAAGCGGACAGGCGCCGGCGAGGCCGCAACACGATCGGCCATGTCGCGGTGCAGTCAGCCAAGTCAACTGCATGGACCTGGGGCGTGCAGGTTGTGCAATCACAACCATCCATGCGTGAAAACATAATGGATCGCACGCTGTTCAAATCCTCAATGGCCTTTTGCACCAGCTGGTCAGCCTGCCCCCTGATGCCATGTTTGGTAGCTTGGACCAAGTGCCTGCACGTCGATGCCTTTGTGCTGCAATCGCCGCAGAGGATGTGAATGCCACATACTTTTTGTTGACAACCAGGTGATTCAAGATTGCAGGTGTGCGCGCTCCTTCCCGTTCGGCTCTGCTGGCTCCCAGCTTGTAGCGGTTGGCGCAGGCACTATTCTGCACAGTAGGCACCAACCTGCACCTTGTCTGGCGTGCATGTGCAGGCGCACCCGTATTGTGGTCTATCTCATCTGCGACCGCTTGGGGTGATTGAGGCGCATTATCACGCGGTTATGACCCCTTGCACAGTGAGAGCGAGAGAGCCTGCACATGCACTTGGAAGGGCGCAGCGGGGCTGCGTGCACCAAGGGCACTTAGTGCTCCACAGATGCGCCTTGTGCCGCTTAGTGAGCTTTACCGCTGCACCAGCGCCACTGATTCGGGGTGAGCGCGGCCTGTCGTCGTAGTGCACTGTGCTCATATGCGTCCTGCAGGCCCCAGTGTCGTTCATATGTGCGCCAAATGTAAGAGGGACAGCATAAATAAAGTTCAATAACCTTCATAATAATATGGATGGTCGCTTGGCAGCTCTTGCATCGGGGGCCGAGACATGAATGTCATCAGTCTGCCCCTCCATCCAAGCAGCCAGCGTACCAGCACTCTTTGACGGCGATTGGTGATCTCGCGGCGCCCTTGCGCCGGGCAATGTTTGATTAACTTGCAGCCTTTCAACAGTATTCGCTTAAGAGAGACGACTTTGACACAGCAACTACCCATCCTGAGATGAACGAAGGCAAACACCGGCCAGGGCCACACCTACCGGCCTTCTGACAAGCTCTCTTGCTATTCAATCAATGTATTAGACGCTATCTTAGCTATCTATATCTCTCTTAGCGGGCGCCCTTCTCCTGCGGCCCGTCCTAGCTTTGGCACAACCGCTCGCCGAAATAGGGGATCGGCCATCCCTGGGCCCCGTAAATGGGTGATATCAATAACATCTGGCCGTAGCTCTCGGCCCCGGCAGCACCCTGCGCGCAGGGCGAGATGGCAGCCAAGTGCCCACGATGGGCCGAGAGCAGGCTGGACGCGCTCTTCGCGTACAGGTTCCCTCAGCAGCTTATTGTGCTGCTATATAAGAACGGTGAGCTGGCAGTTTGGTGCCGTCTGTGACCGACACTCCAGCCTGGGGCAGTACCCTCTGCTGCTGCTGCCGCTGCAGCAGCAGCTGCTGCTTGTCGCGGCTCGCCGCATGCCTCTTTCGGCCCTGCCAGTGCTTCCCCGGGTTCAGCATGAGTTTTGTGACCTTGTCACATGGGAGCACAGAAGCGTAGCATGCGGGGCGTAGTCGTGCAGCCCTGGTGCCTGTGAGGCGGGCAGCTGCTGGTGCACCTGTTGACGCCCCTTGCGCCCCCCCCCCTTCAACCCGCCCCGGACCCTGCTGCATGTAGTCCTGGTGGCGTGGCGCAGCCGCCGCGCCACGCTCCTGCGTTTCCTGGCGCCGTTCATGTTCCTGCTGCTGGCGCTGGTGATGCAGGTGGCGCTCGACGCCAGCCTGTCTGTCGAGGGGCGCTATCGCCCCCAAACAACAGGCATCAGGCTCGGCGTCGGCAGCATCCCGGACTGCAACAGGGACCTGTACATCCACAACCGCGCATGCTTGACGATGGTGTTCACGCCAAACACCAGCAGCGCGGTGCAGGTGCGCGCCTGGGCGGATGGACGCGGCGGGGGAGAGGGCGCACTGGGAAACAGCAGCTGCATGGCGGGCGGGCGCCCCGGGCCGACAGCAGCAGCAGCTGTACCGCGGGCCACCCCCGGCAAAGCCACATGACGCTGAAGCTGCAGCAGTGAGAGATCAGACTCAGTCCCAGGGTTATGGCAGCAGCCCAGGTGCGGCTGTCCCTGCGGAGCGCAGCAGCAGGACACCAGGCCAAGGAGACCGCGAGCGCGGTGCGTGCCCGCACAGCGAGATGCCGCCGCCCTGCCTGCACCGCCCCTATGCGTGAGCGCAGGACATTGTAGAGCGCATACGCATCAATAATAAGCCGGAGATCCCTGCGGAAAAGGTCCTGGGTTTCAAGGACCGCGCTGACGCGGAGCGCTACATGGCCCTCAACCGCGACACGACCCTGGGGGCGGTGCACTTTGTGGAGCAGCCGGGCGGCCAGATTGGCTACTTGCTGCAGGGCAGCTCGGGGGTGAGCGGCAGCGGCATCTGGGGACTTAGAGGCGTGAGTTGGGCGGCAGCAGCACCTGGGTGGAAGGAAACGGCGTGGCAGCGACAGCAAAGCCCAGGAGTGCAGCAGCAGCGTGAGGAGACACTAGCCGCACAGCTTGCTGCAGCTGACGCGTGGCCCCTGGGGTCGTCTCGTTCTTTTTTTATTGCCTGTGTGATGCGCTTGCGCTGAGCGCGCCAGCCCCAGACCCCCCTCCCCTGCGCGGGACCCCCGCACCCCACCCAACGCACGCGTCCAGATCAAGTCTTTCAAGTCATACGTTCAGGACCCCCAGTTCTTCTGGCAGACCCCCGTGATGAATGCGGTGTCGCGCGAGATCGCGCGCCAGGCGCTGCTGGACGCCGGCCGCACCCACGAAGCCGACACGCTCGCATGGCAGCCGGCGCTGGTGCGGTACCCGCACCCGGAGATGACGACGCTGTCGTTCACGGGGCGCGTCATCGCGCCCTGCATCTTCGCAGCCTGCATGTTTGGCGCCGTCACCCAGGTGTGCGCCTGGGTGGAGTGATCGCTCAGCTGGCGGGGCCAAGTGGCTTGCTTGGGAAGCCCGGAGCTTTGAATGAGCGTTGGCGGCTTGGTTGTGGCTGGGCGTAGCTACTGCGGCGGAGCAGCATCAGGGGGGCTGGGTGCAGTTCGTCGTGACGCGAGCGTCGCGTAGGCGGGCAAGCTCCATGCGTGCTCGCGCCTCGTGCCTCCGCCCGCACCACAGATGGCCCAGCTCGTGTCTGAGAAGGACTCGGGTCTGCGGCAGGCGATGCGCACGATGGGGCTAATGGAGAGCAGCTATTGGGGCAGCTGGGTCGTGTTCGACTTGGCTTTTGGGGTGCTGCTGGCGCTGGTCATAGTGTTTTCAGGTGACAGGGGAGAAGGTGTGGGTGGGGGTGAGAAGGGCGTCACGGGTCCAGGAGAAGGCCCAGCTCAAGAGGCCGACATTTGGCTGTGTCGACGTTTTCCTGCGGTTGTGTCAGCAGCAAGCAATTGTTGGCTGTAGCAGTGGAGGCAGGGCGACAGCAAGCCCCTAGAACCCTGTGAGCGTGTCGCGAGTGTCTACATGCAAGCCGCCCGCAACAGGACACGTGCGTGCATACGTCTCATGCCACCTCTTCCCCCTCCTTGCCGCTCGCTTGCCACGCCAGGCATGATCCTGCAGTTTCGCTTCTTCCTGGCCAATGACTTTGGGCTGCTGTTTGCGCTCTTCTGGCTGTTCCTAGCCGCCATCTCGGGGTTCACCTACTTTGTGACAGCGTTCATCAGCAAACCCCAGACGGCTGTGTACGCAGGTTTCATCGTCTTCCTGGTGGGTGCTCATGGGGTCAGGGGTGGGCGGGTGAAGGAATAACAGCACTCAGCAGCGGCAGACCACATGGACAACGTGCCGCACACGTGCCACCACAAGAGTGTCAGCAGCAGTGCGGCGGTATACAGCTCGCTGCTGTCTGCATCGCCTCTCTCCCCCCCTCCCAAAACCTCAACCGGACCCACTCAGCACCTGACCAGCCCTACACACTCCCGGAACACCCCCCTCAGGTGGGCTGGACGTTCCAGGGCATCGTCACCTATGGCCTGCCGTACACCCCGACGTTTTACAACGAGCGGGAGCCGACCCAGCGCCTCTACCACCGCCTGTTCTACTGGCTCTTCAACCTCATGCCCTGGAACCCGCTGGTGAAGGCGATCATCGACATGGCGGCCGCCACCAACACAAAGGCGCACCCCGGGATCCGCTGGGAGGCTCGCAGCAGCTACTGCCTCCAGAAGCCGCCTGCGGCGGGTTACGACCCGCTGACGACGTGGAAGGACACGGCCTGCATCTTCCCGGTGGGAAGCTGCCTGGTGACGCTGGCAGTCCAGGCGGTGGTCTACACGATCCTGGCAGTCTGGCTGGACAGCATCATGCCCAACGAGCTGGGGGTCACCCGGCACCCCTTCTTCTTCCTGCACCGCGCGTTTTGGAGGCCACGGCCGGCAGAACAGGGCGAGGCGCTCGCGCGGCTCGTGGCTGAGGGCGAGGCGCGGGCAGCGGCGGAGAAGAACGCGGCCAAGAAGGGGGGGCCGGCGGCGCGGCCGAGCGTGGCTGGCGGCGCTGACGAGGACGAGGACGTGGGGGAGGAGTCGGCGCGCATCAAGAGGAGCCTGGGGCAGAAGGTCGGCGGGCTTGTGCGGATTGAGGAATGCAGGTGGCTGGGCAAGGCCTGCGGCGCGGCGCCTGCGCCCGCAACCGCCGGCGCAAGCAGCGGTGCGGCCCTGCACGTCAGCCGCGGCGGCGCGCGGCGGCGCAGCAGCGCGGGCGGCGGGGGCGCGCAGGCGCCAATGCCGACGTGCCCGGCCGCGGCGACGGGGCAGCAGCAGTGGCAGGCCAGTCGGGGCCACCAGGGCAGCAGCGACCCCGACTATGCCGTCGAGGTGTTTGGCCTGCAGAAGGTGTTCAGGCTGGGCCGGTGGGAGCGCTACGCACCTCGCTGCCTGGGCGGCAAGCCCGCGGGGCGCGACTTTTGGGCGATCAAGGACAGCTGGTTCGGCATCGAGCAGGGCAGCCTATTTTGTCTGCTGGGGCCCAACGGCGCCGGCAAGACCACCACCATCAACTGCCTCACGGGTGCGGGGCCGTTGTTTGGTTGCCTTGCTATTGGTGGTTCGGTTTCAGAGCGTGCCGCCTACCAAGCTGGCGCCTCCCGATGGCAGTTGCAGCTCCGGACAGCTGCTTGTGGCTGGGTGAACCCTACGCTTGTTTGCAAATGCATCAGCAGAACCTGTCAACTGCTGCGCCCCACCGCTACAGGAGCCCTGCCGCCGAGCGCGGGTGATGCGCTCATCTACGGCGAGTCGCTCTGCGGCGAGGGCGGCCTGGACCGCGTGCGGTCGCTGATGGGCGTGTGCCCCCAGGTGCGCGCCACGGCGCGATGGGCCACAACCAATATGTTTGTTACGAGGGCGGGGTGGCGGGATGCGCGGGGCGGGCCGTGACCTAGGGAGCATGTGAGCGTGGGCTGACCAGAGGGGCTTTGCTCGGCAGATACCTTTGTTGCTGTTCCTTCTCCGATGTCCCCCCTGCCCCCCATTACACACAGTTTGATGTGCTGTGGAACGAGCTCAGCGGCACCGAGCACCTCATCATCTACGGTCACATCAAGGGCCTGCGCTTCAGCGAGGTGCGGTGCGGTGTGGTGCTGCTGGCCAGCGTGCATTGACAGGGGGCATGCTGAATGCACCTGACAATTGTCTTGCCTACCAGACAGCGGGCCTGCAACGCACAACAGCAAGGGAGGCAAAAATCAGCCGATCATGCCCATGTGTGTCGGGTAGATTTGTATGGGTGCACGCACGGACGCAGCGCGCGCTTGCAGACACACACACGCGCACACACACACACACACACACACACACACACAACACACACACACACACACACACATACACATATGCAGGTGCGCCGCGAGGCTGACGCCCTGCTTGAGAAGGTCAAGCTGACGTATGCCGCCAGGGTGCGCAGCGGCAGCTACAGCGGCGGCATGAAGAGGCGCCTTAGCGTGGCCATGGCGCTGCTGGGGGACCCCAAGATTGTGTACCTGGACGAGCCCACCACGGGCATGGTGAGGAGGAGGATGGGGAGGGGGCGGTGCTTGTGCGAGGGCAGCGTGGGGAGGAGGGGGAGGGGCGTGAGTTTGCGCGATATGTGTATGCTAACAGTTGCGGGTGCAGGCACGCATATGGAAGGACAGATAGCCTGCTTTGCCGCTCCGCAGCGCGTCATCGCCTTAGCCCCCTTGACAGCCAGCCTCAAACCCCTGAGATCCCCCCCTTGAGACTCGACACGACGCCCCGCCGCCACACGCCCCGCCCCCGCAGGACCCAATCAGCCGGCGCTACGTGTGGGACATCATCCAACAGGCCAAGGCGGGCCGCGCCATCGTGCTGACAACGCACTCCATGGAGGAGGCCGACATCCTGGCAGACAGGATCGCCATCATGGCGCGCGGCCGCCTCAAGGCCATCGGCAGCAGCATACGCCTCAAGCAGAAGTACGGCGCCGGCTACACGGTCGCCGTCTCCGTGCAGCACCGCGCGGCGGGCGACAACTCGCCGGACGCGCTCGCGGCGCGCATGGAGGGCGTGCGCGAGTACTTCCTCGCGCGGCTGGGGCTGCTGCCGTTTGACGAGGGCCGCGCGCACCTGCAGTACCTCGTGCCGCGCGAACACGAGGCGCGGCTGGGGGTTGTGCTCGTAGAGCTGGAGCAGCGGCGGGGCGCGATGGGCGTGAGCGACGTGCAGCTGAGCCTCACCAGCCTGGAGGAGGTCTTCCTGACCATATCACGCCGGGTGCGCGGTCTGGTCACTTCACCAGAGGGCCGTCCACCTGGACTTGATTTCAGGGGGGGATTGAGGGCCAGGGCTGAGGTGGAGTGGAGCGCAGGCGGCGCGTGGGGTTGTCGAGTTGGGGGTCCAAGCCATGCTGCAGGGGGCGTCTGTATGCTCAGAACCGTGCGGGCCTCCATGCTGCTCCACGCGTGGTCGCCCCTCGCCCCCCCCCCCCCCACCTCCGCGCGCAGGCGGAGCTCGCGGCCGCGGAGGCCTTGGGCGCCTCGTCCGTGGAGGTGCCCCTGCCGGAGGGCGGCGCCCTGCACGTGGCCCTCGGCCAGGACCGCGGGGTCAACCCCGCAGACGGCCGCGCCTACGCCATCAAGTGGGCGCAGGACGACGCCGGGCGCCTGGTCGTGCTCGACGTGCTGCCGCTCGGCGTGCAGCCGCCCGGCCTGGGGCTGCCGGGGATGCCCGGCGACGACGCGGCTGCCGCGTGCGGCGGGCGGCTGTCGGGGCCCGGGCTGAGACGGAGAAAGCAGGGCTCGGAGGCGAAGCGCGTGCCGAGCCTGAGCCAGTTGCTCGGCGCCGGCATCGAGATGCTGCTTGGCGGCGGGCGCGGCAGCGGCGCGGACGGGGCGTCGGCGGACGGCAGCAGCCACAGCGGCATTAGCAGCGGCAGCAGAACGAGCAGCGCGGCGGCTGCTGCTGCGGCGCGCGGTGGCTTTGGCGGCGCGCTGGGCGCGCGCTTGGCGGGGTCTGCCGCGCCGCGCGACAGCAGCGGCGGGGGCGGCGCCGCCGAGCTCGGGGAGCGCGGCTTCCGGCAGCTGCCGCCGCGCGGCACACAGTGGTGATTCAAACGAGGGGCGCTGGCCACCGGATTGCGGGAGCCAGGCAACGCTCGCCGGTTGCGTGGTCTCAAGGAGGAGGCATGTGCACGCGGCTGTGCTTGCAGGGGCGGTTGCAGCGGCACGGTTGTGGGCTGCCTTCATCAGCCTTGGGCAGGCGCCCGCACGAGCGGGGGGTTGAGGGATTGCGGGGGCATCACTGTGACTATATATGCCGCCCAAAACATTCGATCATATTGGCGGGGTGTGCTGTATGGGGTTGCGCCGGAAGCCCGCATCTCGGGCCAGGCTGGGGTGGGCGTGCGGGGCGGCGGCCCGCTACCCAGTGTTTCTTCCGCCAACAGTCGTGCACCATTGCAGTGGCGTCGACCCCTTGTGTCAAGGGTCGCTCGCGGGTATTCTGGGAGGACGGCGCTGCGCACCACAAGCAGGAACCCCTGCAAGCCGCGCCCGCGCGGCGCTGGAAAACAACTGCTTGCATCTGGCCCCGGTGCAGCGCCTGCATCCGCACTGGGTGTGGCCGCAACCTCAGATGTGAAAAGGGACGGCGTTGCCTCCACTAGGAGCATTGCCCCTGCGAGGGTGTAACGCTGGCACTGCTGTACCATTACGCAAGCTGCAACCAGTCTGCTTTGAGCGCCCTTCCACCAACCGTTTGCATGGGAACGACCGGACAATTACAGCTGCATTTGCAGCCCTTGTGAGTCCCACCAATTTTTGTTGTGGCATCATACCGAGTATGAGCCCCAGCCGACACAGTGGAGGGCAGAACATCTGAAACTTGGCATGCGCAGGGAAGCTGGCCGGGCTTGGTCTTTGTTGCAAAACCCTCCTTGCAACTGGGTCCCGTGTCGCCGGCCAGGAGTTGTGCCGCAAGGCGGCTGCCTGTGCAGCCAGTCGCTCCACCTCCCACCCGTCACCGCAGGTGCAGCAATCCCGGAAGGGCGCTCCGCAAGCGGCGCGCGGACCGCAGAAGGTCGAATGCAATCGCCAAAGCCCCGACTGCCCCGCGTTCCAGGCCCCGCCGCCGTCGAAAGCGTCACTCTGCACGCTTCTTCGCGGCCGCCTTCTTGGCTGGCGCCGCGCCCACGCCGGGTCCGTGCAGCAGGCGCCACAGTAGCCCGCCGGCGAGCGCGCCGGCAAAGGGGGCGGCCCAGTACAGCAGCGCGTGCTCCAGGGCGCTGCGGTTGTCGCTGTAGTGCACGAAAAACGAAAAGGTCATGGCAGGGTTGAGGCCGGGCCCCGAAAACACGCTGCCAGCAAGGATCTGCGGGTTGCAGCGAGGTGGCCAGGCGTGCAGGTGCAAGAGTTGATTTTGCCAAGCACGACAAGAGGGGGCCATTCAAAGCGCAGAGTGCTGAGAGGCTCAGGTTGACGCAAGGCGCGTGTGACCGGCAGGGGCGGGGGCGAATGCGCACGGCGGCGACGCCCCGGATCCGGCGGTGATGTCCAAGTGCACACGCGGGCTAGGGGGTGACGGGTGCGGCTGGCGGCCGGCCGCGTGGCTCACCAGCGCGACGGTTGCCAGGAGGGGCAGGACCTGCGAGAGCACCTTGCTGCTGGTCTCTGCGGGGCAGCAGGCGTGTGATGGGCGGCGGGGTGCATGAGGGGAAGTGCAGCGGCAGAGGGCCCCTGCAACGATGGCGAGGTCAAATCACCACGGGGCTTGCCCCTGGCTGTCGCGACGGGAGTCGTGCCCATGCAACACGCGGCTGAAGCAGCCTGCTGGGGAGCCCGCAGTTGGGTTGTGTGTCAAGCACCCTGCACGGCACCCTGCCCGACGCAGCCCCCTGGCAGCCCACCCATGGAGTAGAGCACCACGAGGTTGAGCACACAGCCCAGCACCGCCTCGCACGCCATGCCCACAGGCAGGGACACGCCCGCGGCCAGGCCGCCAGGCAGCTTGTGGAAGTGGCTGCAGCAGGGTGGGAGGGGGGGTGGGTTTGGGGCGGGGGCAAGACTTGTCAGCGGCTTTGTCTGCGGCGCAGCTGCCACCGCACACGGTACGCGCCAGACGGTGCCTGGACCGCCCGTATTCGTAGGGCTGCGAAGGCCCTTCGCAGCTTGTACCGTGGCATCTCCTTTCCACCACCTGCGCTGCCCTCGATTCGCAAGCTCCCGCAACCTTCCCGCTGTGCCGCGGTCGCCCCGGGGCCGCCCCGCGGGTGCCGCCGCGCGCAGCTCACTCCTTGAGGAATTCCGGCAGCATGCTGACTGCCAGGAACGCGCCCAGCGCGGCGCCGACGATCTGGCAGCAAGAGCGAGGGCGCGGCGCTCGTCAACGGCAAAGCCGTGCGCACGCGTCGCCGCCTGCGGTTCGACAACGCGCCACGACCGTGCTGTACCCTGCCGCGCTCTCAATCGAAGATGTCGAAGCCCCTCATCAAGGTCGGCATCCCAGGGGCCGTGCCAGCAGCCGCGCTGGAAGCCCACCTGTGCGACCATGCGCGCGGTGTTGAGCTTGACGCTGTCCTTGCCGGCGGCGATGAAGGCGACGTTGTGGACGGGGTTGAACATGGCGCCGCCGAAGAGGCCGCATATGGGGCCGAAGATGATGAGCGAGACCACCGTGATGGCAATGGAGAGGGGGAACTCACCCAAGCCAGTGATCTGGGGTTTGATCCGTTGGTTGTGAGGGAGCGGCGGCGGCCGGGTCGGCCTTGGAGGCGGAGGGTTGCTGAGGCATGCAACCTGGTTCCAACCGGGACGACGCACCTCATGGCACGGAGCCAACTGCGGCACCCCTGGCAACCCCACCGAACCCATCACACTCCAACCGCCTGTCGTGCCTCTGCACCTTCACCGCCAATCGCCGCTGCCTTGCCACCCGCCAACCTTCCCGCCCGTGCTGATGCTGAACCGGCCCCGACACCCATAACCCGCCTCACCCCCGCCAGAGCCTCCGCCACCTCAGCCGTCAAGCTCATCAGCGCCACAAAAATGCAGCTCATGCTGAAATCTCCAGCAATCAGCATCTGCGGTGGCGGGCGGGGGCGGCAAGGGCCAATCAGCCAGCGCAGGGGCAAGGGGAAGGTCGGCACGCCACCACCTGCACTGTGCCGGTGGTGAACGCCGCCCTCAAAATCATGCATCACACACGAGCGGCCGCTTCTGGCTTGCAACTGCTGGCCCGACTGAGTCTACCCACCTGCCACCAGGTGTCATCCTTGCTCTTCTTGCGCCGCGACGCCGCGCGGCGCTCCAGGCTGCTGCTCGTCATGCCGCCGCCGAGGATTGGGAGTTGGCCTCCCTCAGAGCTCTGCTGCCGCCGCCGCTGCTGCTGCTGCTGTTGCCGCTGTTCCTGCTGGCTCGATCTGTGGGCTGCCTCTGTGGCCGAGGCAAGCGGCAGAACCGGGGTGCTACCGCTGTTGAGCGCCGTTGTCGCTCGAGCCCTGGCGCCGCGCACGTGCCGCGCACGGCAATAGTGTGGTGTGATGGAGTTGCCTTGCTGATCTATCCAAATGTCTGCAGCTGTGAGAGAGTATGCTTACGGTCGCCGAAATGCCTGAAGGGGAGGCGGGATCACTCAGATCGCGAGGACGATCGCTGTGCAGACCGGTGCGGAAATGAGTCAATGGAAGCCACTCCCAGCAAACGCCTGTGAACCGTGAGGGCTCACCTGATGTACGATGGAGTCCCAAGTGTTGGACGGCCCGGGGCCCGGGCTGACTGCGCCGGTGTCCGATCCTCCAATCCGCGCACTGCCAGTCCTGCAGGCAGGCGTTTGTCCCGCCGCAAGTGATGAGCACAAGGCATGTGAGCTCCTGCCAGAAAGCGCCCGTCACCGAGTATGGTATGCCATACGTACAGTGTATCATCAACTCTCCCAATGCACAGCAGGCATCCACACAGGTGCTCTCCCAATGCACACAGGTCTTGGCCACAGGCCCAACGCCAGGCGGAGGCACACGTGCTGCATTCATGTATCCTATGCGAGGAGACCATATCCATACTTAGCACACACTCTCTACACACCTCAGATTCAAATGTGGATACGGCCAAGGCTGCAGTGCCCGTGGCTGCCTCACACCTACGCAGGCGAAGCAGGCGAAGCACGCAGCGACCCAGCAACAGGCTGCCCATGATTGCTCCTACGCGGTAGCTGGTATGTCAACTTGCAGGCCACATGATCGCACGGCAACAGTATGCTGCACAGGGCTTGAAGTTGCCACGCCTCCAAGCTGCGCGATCAGGTTTGTGGCGACCCTGGTGTGGTCGCAGTAGAGGAAGCGCTACACTCTTCTGTTATAACCGAGCGACAATCATGGCTTGAGGTTCACACCGCAACTGTTGCTGCCTTCTGTCGACTTTGGCCAGGACCACTGTCAATCGGTCCACGCAGTGGTCAATGGGCTGCGCAGGTGGACTGCATGCTCGCAGTGTGCTGCACGACCGATACGACAAGGTACAACAAAAGCCACCATGATCACGGCCTCGCTGCAGCTTTCACGCGCTCTGCGAAGGCACAGGCTCGGCAGCACGGCAGGCGGTCTGCGGTGTCGAACAAGAGTAGCGTTCTCGCAAATCCTCGTCCTCTTTTCTGCCTCTTACGTGCAGAATCAGCAGGTGCGGGACACCCATGACATGCTCAGGGCCGAGGACTGCAGCAGTGCTGCACTTGCAGCCGTCGGAGCGCGCTCTGGTGGCTTCTGGCTCATTTCGCACGCGCACGCATGTGCTAGCAATCTTCTTTAGGCGTCGCCCTGCCCGGGAGGCGGTACGCGGCTGCCTGATCACTGGCGGCCTCTGTCTGCTGGTTTCGCCATCATCGCAGAAACCATGGCTGACCGCGGTGGCGAGAGGGGCGGCTTCGGCCGTGGCTTTGGTGGCAGGGGCCGTGGCGACCGCGGTGGTCGCGGCGACCGCGGTGGTCGTGGCGACCGCGGGCGCGGCAGGGGCCGCGGGCGCGGCAAGCCCGATGAGGAGAAGTGGGTGCCTTGCACCAAGCTGGGCCGTCTGGTGCAGCAGGTGAGACGCCCTCGCGTGGATCGAGGCCGCTTTTCTCTGGCTTCCAGCGGCTTGGCGCCGCCCTGCCCAGCTGCAGCTGTTGTGTCGCCGAATACCCGCACTGCTGCTTCCCGCTCCCAGCCCCTCCGCTCCCCTATTCGACCACAACAGGGCAAGATCAAGAGCCTGGAGACTATCTACCTGTTCTCCATGCCCGTCAAGGAGTACCAGATCGTTGAGTACTTCCTGGGCCCCGCCCTCAAGGATGAGGTCATGAAGATCATGCCCGTGCAGAAGCAGACGCGCGCCGGCCAGCGCACGCGCTTCAAGGTGTGTGTGTGTGTGTGTGTGTGTGTGTGTGTGTGTGTGTGTGTGTCGATAACACGGCCAGAGAGAGAGAGAGAGTGTGTGTGTGTGTGCGTGTGTGTACGCGGATGTGCGCATGTTTTGCGCGGTCGCGCGCAGCTGGGCAAGTGGATGGGGCCAGTCGGGCAGCTGCGAATGAGCAGGACGGTGGGTCCCTGCGACTGACAGCGCAGCAGCATGCCGCGGGGTACACAGCAGACAGCCCGCGCTAGTGCGCACCTGCAGCAGTGGGTTTGGCAGTGTGCCCTCATGCGTGTGCCGCATGAGGGCGCAAACGCACCACACACATGCTGGAGCTCTCTTTGTTTGCCACAGGCGTTTGTGGTGGTGGGCGACTACAACGGCCACGTGGGTCTCGGCGTCAAGTGCGCCAAGGAGGTGCGCGGCTTTGCTGGAGCGGAGAGGCTTCGACCGCCGTGGGATCGGCAGCTGCTGCAGCAGCAGCAGCAGCAGGCAAAAGAGCAACCCAGCACGCGGCACTCGCAGCTGGCCCCCTGACTGGCCGCTGGGCTTAAGGCACTGCTCTGAATGCATTACCAACAGTTGACACAGTGTCCAACAGCTTCACACACAAGCCTTGCCCTTGTTTCAGCCGTGCCCCGCCCGCACTTCCTCCTCTCACCCTCTGTGCCCTTTATTACCCCCTCCCGACCCCTCCAGGTGGCCACCGCTATCCGCGGCGCCATCATCCAGGCCAAGATGGCGGTCGTCCCCGTGCGCCGCGGCTACTGGGGTAACAAGATCGGCAAGGTGCACACCGTGCCCATCAAGTCGACCGGCAAGTGCGGCTCCGTCACCATCCGCCTCATCCCCGCACCCCGCGGTGCCGGCATCGTCGCCGCGCGCACGCCCAAGAAGGTGCTGCAGATGGCCGGCATCGAGGACTGCTACACCTGCTCGCGCGGCAGCCGCAAGACGCTGGGCAACTTTGTGCGCGCCACGTACTACGCCCTGGCCTCCACCTACGGCTTCCTGTCGCCCGACCTGTGGACCGAGACCAAGTACACCAAGGCCCCCCTGCAGGAGTTCACCGGTGAGGGGGGTGCCGCAGGGAGCATGGGTGCAGGGCAGAGGGCGCGGCAAACTGTCTGCTTTCTGGGTGGCTGGGGGGTGCACCTGGTTGACTTGTTGGCGTCTGCGCTTTGGGTGTTGAATTCGCGGGTACCAGCAGGATTGGTGTGGCGGCGCATGGGGGGTTTGCGCGCTGCGCGAGCGGGGGCTGCACCGCCATGAACGCAGTCAATACACCCAACTCATAACTGCCGCCTCACTGCTGCACACCCTCCCCTTGTTACAGACTTTCTGGCCAAGCCTTTCCTGGGCGACGCCCCGAAGGCGGCTGACTACGCCGCTTACTAAGCGGCTCATCGCGCGCAGCTTTTGCCGAGCGTCATCGCTGCGCAGTGCCAGCCACGCAATTTGGGTGCTGCATGGCGGCGGCCGCGGTATTGGTGCGCGCAGGGCCTGCGGCTGCGCCCGTGCGGGGCGGCGCCCCCTACCGCCCCTCGCACGCGCGCCGCGGTGCCTGAGAGTAGGGTGCAACTGAGTCCAGCACGGCAGGACAATGCACTTGCTGTTGTCCTCAGCAGCACTTTGTTGTAATGTCGTGCTGCTCGTTTTGCATCTTCCCGGTTTGCAGCGTACACCACATTGCCATGCCCAAGGGGCCAAGCCAAGTGCAGCCCAAGCAGCAGCAGCAGCAGCAGCAGCTAAGGCTTTGCAGTCACGGCACCCTTCCAGCTTGCGCCCGCCAACCTGGCAGCCTGTGAGACAGAATCACTTACTGCACTTGGCATGCTGACTTGAGCAGCACAAATGGCCTCGAGCACGGGGTACGCAGCCTGTTTGGTTGGCTCGGGCAGGATGGTGGCTGCGGCAGCGATAGTGGATAGAGGGCTGCTGCTGTGGTTCACGCATACTCCTTCAAGGCAAGGGGGCCTGCAGTGGTGGGTGAATGGCCCCACAATTGGCTTCATGCTGCCACTGCAGTAACAGGTCATGCTGCCTCCTGTTGGGTTTGCGCCCGCCACCCGCTGTCCGCCTCTGCTTGAGTTATAAGGCCTTTGAAACCACTCAAATGCGGCCAGTGTTTTGGCGTGAGCGGAGAGCCTGTGAACGTTTGCCCCGCGTTCGCCAGCAGAAACCGCCCCGCGTGCGGGACAGCCGCGGTCTCTCAACTCATTTTTACAAGATGTATGTGTACAGAAAGATGGGCTCGAAGCTGCTGAACGTGCTGCAGGCGGGAGGTTGGGGCAGCGTGACTAACGAGCAGATACGCAACTTTCGGCCTCTCCCCTCTTTCCTCACGGTCCCAGCCCTGGCACGATCATCCGCCCCGCCATTCCTGTCTCATTTCAACATCGTTAGCCGCAGGTGTGCGGCCGCATCCTCATAAAGGAGTGTAGGCCAACCCTCCTCGTATCTGCTGCCAGAGGAGGCGTAAAAATGAAGCTGGGGCGTAAAGCGCAGGCGTGCGCGCTCTTGGCGCTGATATGCGCTCAGGTAAGAGCCCGTAGCCTGCGTGTGACAGGCGCGGGGCTGCTGTAAATGGCAGCGGCCTGATCCCTCGCCCTCGCTCCCCCCTCGTGCAGGCGGCGTTTGCCAACCCGATACCTCAGGGACTGCTCAAGGGACTCGAGTTCAAAGGTGCGCTGAGGGCCGCTGGGGGAGTTACCGTGGCCGCGTGCCGCCGATTAGTGATAACGGCTGTCTCCTGCAATGCAACAGGGGCGCTTGCGCTGCGCCCAGCGATGCGCAGCGGCCGGCAGCACCAGCGCCGACAGTACGGGCGCGGCTCGCATGGCGGCCTGAGAACACGCCACGCCACGGCCCCCGTTTCCGCAGGAGGGGCGAGCAAGGGCCAGACCGCGGGGGCTGTGCTTGGCGGCAAGGCAAACCTGAGCTGCCCGGCTGGGTACACCCTGGAGCAGGACAAGCTTGGACTGCCCCACTGCGCCAAGCGGACGGCTCTGGACTGCCCCAAGGGCACGTTCCTGAACGAGGCGTCCGGCACCTGCTGCCCGCCTGAGAAGTCAGTGGCTGGGCCCCGGGCGGAAGACCGGCGGGCGGGATCGCAGCGACCGCCAGAGGGGGGAAGGGGTCAGACCTTGGGGATGCGATTCGGCAACAGCAGCAACAGCGGCAGCAGCTCATGGCCGCCGGCGGCAGGCATGGCGGGCGGAGACTGCCGGGCGCCGCTGCGGCAGGGGGGTGCTGGTGCGCGGCGGCAGCTGCGCGCCTGGCGGCCGATTAGGAAAGCTGCACCGCCCCGGTCGCCAGGGTCTCAAGCCCCTCCCTGCACCATGCCCCCTTCAATCTCCCCTCCCCGGCCCGCAGCCTGTGCTTCCCGAGCCTGGCGGGCGTCTGCCCCCACGGCACCATCGTGAAGACCAACTGCACTGCGAAGGTCAAGATCGGCAACGGCCTGCCCACCGCCAAGTCCGTGACCTCTGAGATCGTGCAGGCCAACAAGGTCAACGACCCCACCTACAGCACCAAGCTGCAGGCCTCCCTGGCCAAGAAGCCCGAGTCCGGCGCCAAGCCCGCTGATGAGGAGGTCGAGGCCGAGGCGCTCTCCGGCCACGGCCGCAAGCTCGCGTCGATCGTGAGTGCCGGGAGGGGCTGGTGTGCGGCGCGGCGGCGCGGTGGGGGCGCGGGCGCAGAGGCGTGCGCGGCCGCTCCCCAGCTACACGGTGCATTGCCGTTGCAGCAAATCGCGGCCGCATGCGCTGGCAGGTCTGTGCTGCGCGGTGTGCGCGCCCGGCCCGGCGCCTGTTGACAAAACACTTCCAACCCTTGTCGCCCGCCCTTCACCTGCGGCCCCCTCCCCCCTGTCCACCCTGTCCCAAACCCCGCCCCAGGGCGGCTCCATCCTGACCACCCTGGCCAACCCCGCCGTGACCGTCAACGCGGAGCGCTTCCAGCCCATCGTGGTGCTGCCCAAGCCCATCCTGTCCTTCGGCGTGCCCGCCAGCGCCGCCGGCGGCTTCCCCCAGGACCCCGTCAAGTTCACCCGCCCGAGGCCCCCGATCGTGGTGCTGCCCAGGGTGAGAGCGCGGGCGCCCGCGCTTGCCGGGGGGCAGGGGCACTCAGGGGTGTGGGCAGTGCGGCTGCTCTGCGGGGCTCCCAGCTGGAGGGGCCGCAAAAGCCGCCGTGCAGCTGGCCTGCCGCGATGCAATGTCAATTTTGGGTGCCCCAGCGGCTGCCAGCTGAGGTTTGGACCGAGATGCATTTGGCCGAATTGGCAGGGGATGCAGGCGGTCGTGTCGCTGTCAATATGTCCGGGTATCTCATTTTTGTTGGTTCCAAAATCTGACATCGCTGCGGCCTGCAGGCCCCACCAACGTGTCAGTCTGAAACATGCAACACACCACTCCCAACAAACCCTCTCCTACGCCGCCGCCCCCCCCCCCCAAAACAGCCCCCGCTGGAGTTCATCCCCCCGAACATCAACGTGAAGGCCCCCGATGTGCAGATCCCCACCCGCGACATCGTCGTCCCCATCCTGCCCGTCCCCCCGGTCACCTTCATCCCCCCGGCCTCCCTCAGCACCAACGCCGGCGGCCTCAACATCGCCCGCAAGTACGCCGTCATCGACGCCAGCCGCCTCGGGCCCCGCACCTCGTTCGAGGTCAACCTGCCCTCCCCCCTGGACGTCGGGGACTTCTACCCGCCCGTGCAGGTCGAGGTCAAGCCCCCGGGCCAGACCGTCATCGACCTCTCCTCGTTCGGCCCCCGCGACTCGACCGTGGTCACCCTGCCCAACTGGAACATCACGCTGCCCGACCCCGTGAAGGTCATCCCCGAGCCCGGCCACGTGCGCGTGGTCAACCTGGCGGGTGCGCAGACCGGCCCCGTGTACGAGTTCAACATCCCCAACCTGCCCGAGCGCAACAAGATCAACATCAACCTGCCCAAGGTTAACTTCACGGGCGTCACCCTGCCCGGTGAGTCGGCAGCGCACGCATTGCCAGTGCATGCTTTCAATGTGTGCTTGTGCCTTGCAAGGTGCGCACGCGTCTGTGAGGTTGTGTGTGTGTTCGTGTCCGCATGCGTGTGTGCAATGTGTTCCTTGTGTGCGTTTTACAGTTGAATGTGTTTGGCTGAGGCCCCTCTCGGGGGCCTGGCATGCAACCTGTCCCATGGTGTCCTGTGGCCAGTCAACAGCCAGCCAGTATAGCTGATGTTCGCAACTCCTACTTGCGGCACCCATCCAGCCTGCTTTTGTGCCTTTCGCCACTAGGGCGCCCCGCCCCTCCTCTCGGGCTTGCCACCCAAAAGCACCTTTTAACGCCGCACCCTCCCTCCTCCCACACACTTGCCCCTCCCCCCTCACACACACCCCCACCT